CCTGCCGCTCCCCCCTCCCTGTGGTCCCCTGTCCTTCAGAGAGCCGGGAGCCCTGTCCAGCCTCCCTGAGCCCCTCTGTCCCATAGGGCCATGATGATGACCGCATGTGACCTGTCTGCCATCACCAAGCCCTGGGAGGTCCAGAGCAAGGTCAGAACTCGGGCCGAACACACTGGACCAGGGGCACACTGTCCAGCAGGGCCCGCGGGGTTCAGGGTGCTTTCAGGGGGGAGTCTTAAATGGAGGAAAGGAACCGTGCTGGTTTGGGGGGCTCAGATGGGGGTTCAAATCCCCCAGCCTCTCTGCAGGAGAAGGATGAGGCTGTCTGCTCCCATTAAGACTGACAGTCTCAGAACCCCAGAGGGTCACTCTGAGTGAGAATTGACTGGATGGAGAGGGTTAGCACCCTGAGCTACTGGGAGAACCAAGTCCACCCAGAGGCCCAGAGACCTACGGAACAGGCAGCCATCGCAAGTTCTATGGCTGCAACCCTACTGCAACACACACAGGGTCGCCAGACTCCAGGGTAACCTACACACACCTGTTCCTACAGGAAACAGCACTGGTGCATAATGCCCCAGGCTACTGTCCGCTGAGGGCCAGTTCAGGGGAGGGTTGGGGGTGGGGGCAGTCCTGAGTAGGGAGGATCCCGGGAGGACCCAGGAACATATGATGAGTGTAGCCCAACAATTTCTAATGGACCTGGACTCACAGGCCACCACAATCCCTGCCTCCATGGTCCTGAGACCAGAAGAACTAGATGGTGCCCAGCCACCACAGCCAACCATTCTGAAAGGGGTCCCACTAGGACGTCCCGGGAGAAGGAGAGAGAAACAGAGCAGGACTCAAAATATGAGCAAGCCTAACACCAGGCTGACCAGTCTGATCCAGGCCCAGTAGAACCCTTGAGACAATGGCCCCTTGACACCCTGCAGGCCTGGAACTGAACTCCCTCCCCAGCCCCAGCCCCATCCGCCTAGAAGCTCAATGGTCACCCCCACCTGGAGATGCCCCTCAGGTGAACAGTGCCTGGGAGGCTCGGGTCCTTAGAACAATGACCAGAGGAGCTCAAAAGAGCAGCGTCTCCCCAGGGATTAAAAAGTTCAGAGGCAGAAAGGGGTGGGAAAGGAGCAGGAATGGACTTGAGACTCGCAGGGAGGAAGGGGGGAAGCGCTGAGACTTGGGGGCAGGGGGCAAAGAGCTGAGGGGTGAGTGAACTATGCAGTGGAAACCGAGCTTGCTTCTGTAAGCTTCCCCCCAACCACAGCAGGAAGCATGTCTGTGCTTTCGACCTCTGGCGAGAGCTGAATCTTCACATCCCTCCAGGTCGCCCTTCTGGTGGCAGCCGAGTTCTGGGAGCAGGGGGATCTGGAAAGGACCGTGTTGGAGCAGCAGCCCATTGTGAGTATTGCTGTCACAGCCCCCACGCCTGGGGAGGAGACGGGGTGAAACCTTGAGTTCCCAGAACTTCCC